AAGCAATGACCTCTGCCCAGGAGTCCACTGATTAATTAATGAGTGTGTTTGCCTGGGTGTGTGAGTTTGGGCAGGTTAGCCTGGCTGCAAGGACAGGGAAAGCTGCTGGAATGCAGCATCCCTGAACCTTAACGAGAGCCTAGCACGAGCATCACATGAAAGCATCACCTTACCCAGGAAGGTGTCACTTTTGGTCACGTCCAACTTAAATCATCATTTCCTCAAGCAGGAAAACTTAGAGCCCTTTACAGTGTATTTTTGAATAAATAACATAAAGAGGTTAAAAAGATGTTTGTATGATCATGCAAGGAGGCAATAAAAATGTGGAATACTTGTAGCCATGTATATTCTCTATATATTTAGTTAATAAACTAAAGTTTATTTATTTAGTATAAATATATAAGCAATACAATATAAATATATACATTGTTTATAGTATGTAGTTAATAAACTGTACAGGCTTCTTGAAAGCGATCTATTTCAAATCATGAAAGAGAGTATCTTGAAAGAAAGTATCTTTAAAGAAACTGAATGATGAAATCACATAATGTAGGAATGTGTTTTTTTTAAAAGTACGGTATTTTGTTTTCAAGTATTGTCTCATGACAGTATTATGGCTAAGGAGTTTAACGTGGAAATTGATGTTTGTGAATTTGGTAGTTTGGAAAACTTTGCATGGGAGAGATGACAGTCACTCATTTACAACTGGGAATGGGTGTGTGTAAGATTCAAACAAAGTGACAAAAACCCCAAGCCTCCAACCCCATTAAAACGGGGCTGAGTGCAAACTCTCATTGTAAGAGATGCTTTTCAAGTCTGTGAGGTGTGACAAGGTGATTGTGTTGTTAGGAGATGTACTGATAGCTGCTGAGATAACATAAACCTACTGTAACTTATTTGAAAAGAACAAGCACTAAACAGACCCAAGTACACTCAGGGATCAGTGGAGAATTCTTGGTACAAGGTATAAACTGCAGATCATACTGAAGTATTCTAAAAAATATTTATTATGGCCATAGAGTAGGAAACTTAATAGGTTTTGATTTTGCCATTTTTGACAAACCCATTGGTGTTCCCAGGGGAGAACATGTCTTTCAGCAAGCTCTGCTAACAATGTTCTAAAGGAAATCCCTTTATGGGTTTCAGGAGCACTTAAGAGGAAGATCACTTTATTAGTAGCATGCTTTACTATTAAATGAATTGTACCTGGCAAGTGAGGAATTCTGTGATACTTAAGATTCCTTAATTCACAATATGTCTTATGGTGATGATGAGTGTTTTCTACCTCTTAAAGCCTTGCTGGAGTTATTTGGGGTGGGAGATTTAGATCTGTACAGAGCTGGATTCACTCAGTGATCCCTAAACCTATTTCATAGGGTGGCATTTGTGTGTAGGGTAAATTCTGTTTCCTGTTCTCCCTGTGAGTCTCTCTGCACAAAGCATGGGTGCTTGCAGCTTGCATTAGGAGGATTCAAACTCCCCCATAATAAATACTGAACAGAATAATTTTTGTCTTCAGATAATTTGTGCTTTTGCCTTCCCTCTGTCCCTTTTATGCCTTCTGTGCTAAAAGAAAATCACTACATGTATGAATGTAGTGGTATCAACTTAAAAAAGTAATTGGCTTCCCATAGAACTTCTCTGCCTTGCTCTACCATTTCCAAGTGACAAGATGTGTGGTCATTTTTTGTCTGTTTCTCATCTCCCTTTTGGAGATTTTGACCCTGCTTTGCACCACTTTTATAGACCCAAACCCACGTGGTTTTGATTTGGCAGAGAATGGCAGATTGCTAACAGAAAGGATGTGATGCTTGTTTTGGCATTTTACTTGTTGTTTTTCATCTGCATCTCTTGTTGTGTCCATATTGAGCTTGGTTGCAAACTAGAACCTATGCTCTGTGGTTTTCTGGACTGATGACAAATCTCATGAGGTTTGGGAATCCCATGAAGTTTAGAAGGGCCAAGTGCAAGGTGCCGCTGGAGTCCAGAAGGGGCCACCCAGTTAATCAGAGGGATGGGACACTTTTCCTATAAGCAAAGGCTGAGAGAATTGGGTTTGTCCAGCCTGGAGAAGAGGAGGCTTTGGAGTGACCAAACTGCAGCCTTCCAGTACCTGAAAGGAGCCTACAAAAATCATAGACAGAGACATTTTACAGGAGCATGTAGTGACAGGCTAGGGGGAATGGCTTCAAAATGAAAGACAGTAGGTTTAGATTAAGTATTATAAATAAATTAAATTTTCTGAGGGTCGTGAGGCACAGGCACAGGCTGAGCAGAGAAGCTGTGCATGCCCCCATCCCTGGAAGTGTTCAAGGCCAGGCTGGATGCGGCTCTGAGCAACCTGGCCTAGGGGAAGGTGTCCCTGCCCATGGCAGTGAACTTGGAACAAGATGATCTTCAAGGTTCCTTCCAACGTAGGCCATTCCATGATACTTGAGATGGAGCTGCCCTGATGGCACTTCCATTATCCTCTTATCCGATTCAGATGAAGTGGATTTTTGGATATTTTTTCATTCGGCCTTTTAATCCAAAGCATTAATAAATCTGGGAGAAAATTAAGGCTTGTAGGTCCAATTCAATTTACATGAGACCTCTTTTACTGCCAATACGTAAGAGCTGAGTTGTGTAAGTATCTGTATCAGTTTGAAAGTTCCTCTACATTATTAGACTGGTAAAAAGATGACTAATGAATACTTACCACTGGTAAACTACAATGGAAGATTGACTAGGAATCTTCATCTCTAAGTTACCTGTTTTTCAGTTGCTCCTACCTACAAAACAAATGTTCATCTCCCCCACCTCCCGCCAATCCTCTTACATCAGTTCCTATGCTAATCTTTTAGATATAATTTAGGTTGAGGTCAGCCATTTTCATATTATGCAAAACTTAGAGAAAAAGGCTTTGTGTCTTCTGGATTACGTGTAGAACAGCTGATTCTGAAAAGTCCAAGTATCAGTTGCTTCATGGCTCGAATTTGGAATGGAAAACCAAAGAGTAAAGAAAAGTAAACTACACTCACAGCTTCAGAATATACTAAATTAATCCATTTTATGCATATCTAGAGGTTTTGCTTTCAGCTTTTCCTTCTTCCTTGATTCCCTCCCAAGGAAAAGCTGAAACCGAGGCAGTAGCAAGAGATGGTTTTGAACACCAATGCCTTTCCCAAAACATCATCTTTCATTAAAAGCTGCTGTGGTTGCAAAGCAGTCTTGAAAACATGAACTAAGTGTAACCTGGGCAGAGATGTCTGCTTAAGCTTTCACGGAGTCTGAAATAATAGCTCTGAGAGATGTGAGCCTCATCTCAACAGGGTGTTCTCTCATATGCCTTCTATTTTAAAGTTGAACTTTCTCTACTCTTCCTGCTCTTCCAGGCAGGCAAGGTTTAGTCACTGCATGGAGTCAATTTACTCCAGTGACAAGGCATGTATTTGCTTTGGGAAAGAAACCCTACCTATTTTTTCTCCAATTAAGACAAAATGAAATCTAAGGGACCCAGTGGTCCTATCTGCCAAGACAGACCCTAGTCCAGGAGTGGCTGGAATTGCATGGTAGATCAGCCTGACAGGCCACCAGACTACTCCTCTGTCTGCAAAAGTGGCAAGCACCAGCAGCTTAAGAGAAGAGAGAAATAAACATACACTAGACTTATAAAATATTTATTGTAATTCAAAATACAGATTTACTGAAATCCTGGGTTTTTTTGGAGGTGGGGTGTTGGTTTTTTTTTTTGGTTTTTCTTCTTTCTTGTACACCTAAAATGGAAGTTTTCCACAATTAAAATGTCTCAGTATTTGGATAATCATCTGATCCAAGTTCAATCTTATTAAAGCATTGGCCATTTTTTTTTTTTTGCAGAAGAGACTTTCAGATTCTCTGTGCTTTGCAGTAGGTCTGGGGGGAGAGATGGGGGGCAGAAGGGAGGCAGGCAGAAAGACAGAGGTACAGACATGACTGTGGTTGTGCCCCATATCCTTCTCAGTGTCCTTCTTCTCCTCTTGGCTCTGTAACATCCCCGGGTGCTGGATGCCTTGCTCTTCCCATCCCCTTCTAGAGCAGACCTGGGCACTGCTCCCTTCTCTCCTGGCTCTTTAGTCCAGACTGATCCCACCAGAGAAGTTCACTTTAACAGAGGGTGAATTAATCCTCCCTGCTGAGAGGGCCTCTCATGGTACACAAAAATCCACATTTAACTTTTTTTTCTAAAAAACCCCTGAGCTACATGAAGTGCGTTGTTATATGTCAAGGATGCAAAGCCCCAGGCAATTTCATTTACTTCAGTGGGAGTTGCAAATACTGGCTGCTAAAACACAGCCAAAAATTACCACAGAATGAGGACTGGGAAAGCAAGTACTTGAAACCCAGGACAATCCCCAAGCTAAGGTTACTGCTGCAACATTCAGTTCTTTTTGTTGCACATCTATACGGTTTATTATTAGTTAATCTATGTCCTGTGAGGTTGCAGGATGTGCAATGAAGCCAAAACAATATTGGTTTGGAGAAGTTAATATTTGTAATTTCCTGACTTTTGAATATTTGATTTTTCAGCCCCAGTAATGCACTAATGCTGTTTTATATGTTTAATATATAATTGGCTTGAGTTTTTTTCATCTTTTCAACTGTTGATACGATGATTAGCTTCTGGAGGAAGAGTGAAAAGAATGACGTTTTTTCCTTGGCCCAGTACCACAGAATCTATTTTATGCACTTTTTCATTACAGTGTTACTATGTTAGTGAGGGAAACTTGGTGTAGGTGGGAATTTGGCTGCTCAGTGCCTCTCAGATGAATGAGACTTGGAAGCCTCTCAAGGACGGTGTTATTTTTATTTCCTTTCCAAACTCGAGGGAAGCACTCGAAGACTGAAAGCTTTTTACGTGTGTTTACAGGACGGTGGGTTTGCTCCAGCCGTCCCTGCTGCACCAGCTCTTCAGCAGTTTGGGACAGTGTTTGTTTAGCACTCGATAAAACAAAAAGCTAAGCAGATTACAGCAGGTTAAATTAACATTTATGACCTTTAGTACGAAAAGCTGCCCTTTCCTGCTGCGCACAATGTGCTGCTGCGATGTGTCGGTGCACACACGAGCCGGACCCATCCTCCGAGCGCCTCCAGCAGCGGGTGCAGGTGCCCGTGAGGGGACACGGGACGGTGCCCACGCGCTGCCCGGGCCCACCTGCCGGGCTCCGCAGCGCACCTGCCGCGGAGGGCTCGGCCTGCCCGCCCTCCCCCGCCGCCCTCAGGTGACACCAGCCCCGGCGGCTCCCCGGGCCGCCGCGGAGCTTCCTGGGTCCCAGAAGGTGCCGGAGCGGCTGCAACAGGAACTGAGAGACGGGGGAGGAGGCGGTGCCGCGCTCCGCCGCAGTCGCGGCCCGAGCCGGGGGAGCGGAGCGGAGCAGCCATGGGCCGCCGCCCGCCGCGGCGCTGAGCCGCCCC